TGTCTCCGAACAAGCAGCCATCTAAGTGAGATGTCAACCAAGTCCACGTGGAAGAAGCACACAGTCATCAGTCACCAAAGGAATTGTGATGCATATAAGTCGGAGGGATTAGTATCAGAGCGTAAATTAAAAGAATCTGGTGTGCAGAGGCGATGGATGACAGTGGGAGCCCGAGATTCATTTGTGAAACAACATAGGATATAAGCCTCCGGAGCACTCCCTTTACCCACAATGGAGGGATGGGAGGAAAGGGGTCTCTAAACAGAGTGCATTGGTGAGTTGAGTATAGGAGGTCAGAGGCAGAAGCCTGACTTGAACAGTTAACACTTGTCAGCAGATTCCCCGAGGATGCATGCTGCATCTGATCTGGTTTCCAAAATCTAGTGTATTGGGGGCTGTATTGTATGGTTTGGTTTGGTTTTTTATTGGAAAGGTATCTCAGGAGTGTGATGTTGTTGGGGGTCACCTCTTGAAATTGCTTTTTTTTTTTTCATTTTGGGGGGATATGAAAATCAGGACCGATGAACCTATAGAGTCAGCAAGTGGAATAAGGGTTTTGGGGGGAGGGGGACACAAAGGGTGAGGCAGTGTGAAAGGGTGATGATGTCAAGGGGGTCCATATAGAAAAAGAATATTTGGAAACTGACAGTGGTAACAAATGTACAATTCTGCTGGACATGGTTGAATTATGGAATGATTTGATATAGATGTTAATCCCAATTAATTTTTTTAAAGTAGAATTCAGAGACAGTGGGATTTTCCCAGAAGCAGTTTGAAGCCCCCTCGTGTCGTATTGCAATCACCACAACACTGGCTCATTTTGCCAAGAAGCCCGTGAGCCGGGGAAACTTCTCAAGGTGCTCAGTGCTCCTGTCAGGACACTTTCTCCTCCCCCTTGGCTGGAGAAACAGGCATTCCTTGAATCCAACACACACGCAAACCAAGATCAGAACAGGTACCTTTGCTCGAGTCCACAGCGGCGTGAAAAACGGCCAAATGGCAAACCCGACGAGCCCGGCAGTGAGCACGCGGCGGTAGAAGAAACTGAGAACCTGGAGATGCGGGCAAAGGAGAAAGGCCAGGTGAGATCCCTGAGCCCTGGTTTCCCGGGGCGACAGAGATGCTGCAGCCGTGGCGACTCACCAAGACTTCAATTCCCAAGGCAAAGAGGACCAGAGAGCCAGCCAGACGACTCAGCGGGAAGGCCAACAGTGACGCGACCAGGTCTTGAATGACTTGAACCCTGTTGAACAGATTGCAGAAACGGGCTGGTTACCCTCTACACGGGGCGGGGATGGTGGTGGTAAGTCATATATTAAAAAAGAAAAGCTCATTCCCATCTAGTTGATTCTGATTCATAGCAACACTCACTATAGGACAGGACAGATCTGCCTCTTTGGGCTTCTGAGACTTTAAATCTTTCTGGGCATAGACAGCCTCATCTTTCTCTCTCTGCATGGCTGGTGGGGTCAAACCTCTGATCTTGTGGTTAGCAGC